CTGGCGTTGTCTTGAATACTGCAAAATATTTGGTTGTTGAAGGGTTGAATCGGCAGGACTTGAAGTGACTTGTAAAACTAACAATTCCATGATAAGAACATGGGTTCTATGTTCTTATCTTCCGCCTATAAATACTTTTTAGGATCTTATAAAGGAAGATAAGTTTCGGAATTGTTGAACTTGTTGTTAAGCTCGAATAGAAATAAATATATATTTTTGAATGTCGTTTTTAATGCTAATTCCAGAAATATAAATTAAAATTTGGAGAAATGAAAATATTTTTTTTTGGCTAGGTTAGGTCAGTTTATGTGAGGTTAGATCAAGTTAGACTAATTAATAAATAATTACATGTTTATTTAAATAAAAACAAATTTAATTACAAAAATTCTTTAAAAATCAAAATATTTTTCCCATTCTTTCCCTTTAAAAATCAATTCCCCAAATTTTTATTTATATTTCTGAAATCTGCAGTAAATTGAAAGTACTTAAAGAGAAGTAACAAGCGCCATTGCGGAAACAGTCGTAACATGATTGACTCGTATCTCTGCGAATTTGTTTGGTGTCGTAGGCATGAAAATGGTGATCTCTTCAAGCAAACATTTAAGAATATTTCTGAATTTTCACATTGACACTAGACACTTTGTATTGTCTTGATGTCTTGCAACTCTTTTAAATACATAGGTATATATGTAATGCTAAAAGTACCTCCTTTGTTTCGTAAGCAAAATAAAAAAAATATTAAAAATATTTATTTTCATTTCTCCAAATTTTAATTTCTATTTCTGAAATCAGCTTTAAAAACGACATCCAAAAATATATATTTCTTTCTGTTTGAATGCGGTGCATGTAACAGAATAGATCCGAAAATGCTCATTAGTTTTCACGAAACTTTGTTGATAATAGCTAAAAGATATCAACTCTAAATTGTGAAAATTTACATCTAATGTGTGACTTTTTTCAATAATCTTCAACAGGGTTTCTTCTGTAGCATGCGCACTGTGTCATTCAGGCGCGACCGAAAGCTCAACAGTAAGCTGGAGGGTTTATCAGAGCACATACGGTCCATTATATGATACAAAGATTGAGTCCACCCCCAAGAACTGGTTGATTAATGTATGGTGAGTGTAGCTCAACTAAAAAGGTAACACTGGAGGTCAATCCATTTCGTTTTAATAGTAGCGTTTTAAAGAATGGTTAAACTTGAGAAAATTTTTGAGAAAAAAAAAAGATTTTGGCGTTTAGAAATACATTTTTGAGAGTGAGGAATTTTTCGTGAATATTTTAGGTTGGTTAGTGCAAAAAAGTAAAAAACATTGCAGGGTGGGGTAGAACTCTTCAGAGTACTTTCTATTACGTTATGCTTTTAATATTTGTATGTGACATGATAAATCAGCGTATCGTTCTTTTAACATCGCCCCCCCCCCAATGGCAGGGCGGTATGTCTGCGGACTTACAACGCTAGAATCCGGGTTTCGATACTCGTGGTGGGCAGAGCACAGATAGCCCAATGTGTAGCTTTGTGCTTAATTACAAACAACATCTTTTAACATATTTTGTTTCTTTGTTTCCTGATCTAAAAATTAAATTTTCCATCTTTCTTCTTTTCACTTTATTTCATAATATACCGAGAGTGGTCAAGTGGTTACCGTGCTCGGACTGTGAATCCGAAGGTTCCTGATTTGCGACCTGTTGCCGTAAAGTCGCGTTTCGCACTTTGTGGCAGTGGATGCCCTACAAGAACGACAGTCGCATCCCACTATTCGATCAGATAAGATCAGCCCAGGCCAAGAGTTAACTAGAAGCTTTTGATTACCTGCCTGCTTACCCTGTAGTCTATCCGTTCAAAGGTAGGGAACGCTATGCGCAGGCAGCTCTTGTGTAACTTTCTGGAATAAACATTAATAATATAA